TTTAACCTAAATGATGTAAAGACTTTAGGAGAACAGTAGATTATGATGACTGACAATTAAGTACTCTTTCTTACAGCCTTTTAGAAAAAAAAATTACACAGAAATTTCTCCCTATCCTTTTGTTTCTTACTGTCATAATAGCTCTCCGTAGGCTTGCGTAGGCTTTGTACTAGTGCACAAAAAAAAGACAACAGGATCTTGGATAAAGAAACTGCTGAAATTTTCCTGGAAAAAGGGTTCAAAGGTCATCGTTTACTATAGTATAGCAGCATTTCCATGAAAATTTCCCAGCTCAGGCAAGAAACTACTCCTCCACTCTACTGCTGATGGAAAATGAACTTTTTTAAGGACCCTATTGATTTACATTACATTTCAATGTATTTTGTTCTTTAAGTCACTATAGTTTCAAGTGACATGCTAGGATTATTAAAACTGATAGATTCGCCCCACTTCAAAGAAAAGCTTTTTCTTATTCCTTTCCCTGAAACTTACTAGTTTAGATGCAACTGGTGTTTTTAATTATTGTAACTGCTTCACTTCGGACTCAGTTCTGCAAATTCCTGTGTGTATTGCCTGTTTGTCAGTGCTTGTCTCAGTGTAGTTACATGTGTTTAAGGTGTTCACAGAACAGAGATCTTTGCTTTCATTTTACCCTTAAATAAGGGAAGGTTTTTATTTATTTTTCTATAGAACAGCAGAGGAAGGTTCAGGTCCCTATCCTCTGCCCTTAGGAGTCAGAATGGCTCATCTGTCCCTGAGGGATTCAGCACATGCTCAGAGAGAGATTTCAGTTGTTCTATACTGCCTGTAAAACAGCAGCAGCAACAGCAACCAAAAAAACCCCAGCCAATTCAGGGAGTCTGCACTAATCTGTTCAATGAGCTTGGCTATTAGGATGTTATAGCTCTTGTCCTGAAATGGGGTGAGGGTTTCAGGAAAGCGGTTTAGTTCCTGTGGATTAATTCCTGGGGACAGTGAGGTCTGAGCCAAAAAATGGTTGAAATGTCTCCCAGTGAGTTTAGTGGGTTTTCCTCAGCCAAGCCCTACAGGTGTGTTTGGGCAGGATCATTATGGCTGTGCTTCTGCATACTAGTAATGTATGAGGTTGTGCTCTCATCATGAGAACAGGCCTGGAGAAAGCTGTGCTCACAGGAACCGGTGGCTCTTGGTAGCTGCTCGTCTTTCCTATTTCTTATTGTATAGGCATGATGGCAACAGTTACCTGTATCCAGGGTTGAACAGGTTGGGAATACCTCATCTGGCCAGCATCTTGTCTGTATATGCCAGTGCTAACACAGAGCAAGTCTGCCACATCTGCTGCATGGTTGTATGCTTCTCTTCAGTGCTGTGCTTCAAATTCAGGAGAGTGATTCAAAAGAGTAATCCAAACAACACAGATCAATGTCAGATACCATGCCACAATCCTTTGCATGTATTGTGGCTGCACTGCAGGAATAGTGTCTCTCATTCTCTTCTGCTGAATTTTTGTTTGTTTGCTACCAGGGACACAGTTCCAGTGGCACAGCCCATCAGACAGGCTGACCCATTGGCAGGAACCTAGCTTTTCCCCTCTTTAGCATCCCGGACCTTTTATTGCTTAGGGAGATACATATATATAGTGTGTCAGTTACAGTTCACATTGAGTAACTTATATGCTGAATCTAAGAATATTAATATTTCTCACATTTGCCTCTTGGCCCTTTTGGAATGGTATCCTTTTTCCTATTGGAAAACTCTTCAGTATGTTGATCTCAAGAAGCATATAAAACAGCATCGGTGATGTCAAGGGCATCTGATTCAGGCGATGCTGATACAGAGATATCTGAGTTTTCCCTGAATATATGTGAATTGCATACACTGGTTGGGAATCTAGAAGAAATGAGGGCTTGGAGAAACCCAGGTAGAGCAAAAGATCAGGGAAGACTGAGCAGGAATCTAGAAGAAACAGAGGCTGAGGGAGATATGGACTGCAAATACAGACGGGCAGCAGTAGCAGTCCTCTTTGCCATTGCAGCATAAAGCAGTGATTTGAAAAGCACATAATACCACTGCTAACAAAGAGGAAGAGATCTTGCTTTAGAAATAGAAGTGAGAAAGATTCCTCCCACAGCAGGCACACAAAGTTTTCATCTTCCCACTCACACCACTGCTCCAACAGCATGCAGCCCTGTTTGCATCCTGGCAATTTGCATCCTGGGTTGAGTGAGTTGGGAGACTGGAAGTTGCAGTAGGGGAAAGTGGAACTGCTGACCCGCTGCCGATGGCAGCATGCCCCATGGGATGGATCTGGAAGCAATCCTTTCCCTCCTAGCTTGAGCCTCATGCTTTTCCTGTCTTGGTGGGGGGAAAAGGTTTGTGAAGAGATTATTTAAAAAAAAAAAAATTGTCGGTGTCTGCTTATTGGATGAGTAGCTTAAACATACTCATCCAAGGCAGCTGTAACCTAAACAGCCAAAGTTCGTTTGAGCTGGGGCTGAATTTGGCCCATTGTCTCTCCTTCACACCCACTGTACAAATAAAAGCTTCAGCTTCTTAGAACGAGGTGGGAGGGAGGAGGCGGGAAAGCCACTGGAGTGTGGTATTGCATTGACAGTTGATGTGCATTCCTTGAAAACCTGTGCTTCTCATCACTTCTGGATATAGTAGTATGGCAAGTCTTTGGGGGACAGGATGCATTTTGTTAGGAGTGGGACATTATGATGAGTATAGGATCTTTATGGGAGTTTTATGGAGCAATGCTGACTCCTGATTAAGAGGTGGGGAAAAAGAAGTATTACCCTGAAAACCGGACTGGAATCTTCAAAAACTGGATCTTTGACAGGAGTTGTATTCAAAGGGGACATTCTAATTCAGAATGATGTTTACTTTCAGCTGTTCATTAAATAACTTAGGGCTGTGTCCCTCTGGAGTAGAAACAGCAGAGTAGACTGAAGGGCTTCTGCTATCAGGTAAATCTGGCAAATAGACTATACAAAAGTAATTTATCTTTGCTACTTGAATAACAATAGTTATATTGCACTTTCCTCTAGAAGGAGGCTACGGGTATTTCTAAGTGGTGTGAAAGAGTCTCTCTCATCCTTCACTAAACAGCAGCTAGCTCTGTGGTAGAGCCAAGTCGCTGTTTAGCACTGCAGGGTTGCAGTTTGGAATGGCTTAAAGCAAATAACAGAATATGAAAGGGTCATTGAAACCTGCAGAAGGTATTTATGAAACTGGAGCTTAGCTAGAGCTAGTAGCATCTGTGGAGTTGCAGTAAGTGCAACGATGAGTCTTCATCGTTCTCAAACATCCAGGATATTTTTTTTTTTTTTTTTTTATGCTTCCTCTCACTGGCATGGCATGTTTTCGAAAGTATTATTGCTGCATGGGGCATTTATATCAGACTGAGAGTGACTTCATTTCAGCTTCAGCTGTGTGCAAAACCAAAAAAAGGTTATTCCAGAATAGGAAGAAGCAACACTTCAGACTAAGTATGCTTGTATGGTGATTATATTGTTATGTTGGTTTAATTTGCAGCATAACTTAAAACTTTCTTGTGAAGATACATCCTTGAAAGAAAGTTCACTTGTTGTCTGAGTTCACATATCCTCTTGATACATTCTAAGATAGCCACAGGGTTTTGCCCTCACGCAGTGACCAACATGGCTAGAGGCTACCTTATAAGAAACATGGTATAAGTGAACAAGTTTGGTGAAGGATGACCAGGTCAGAGTGGTGTCTGGAGAGCTACATTTTGGCTGTGTATCATTGTCTGCAACTTCACTTTTTGTATTTTTCACTTCTGCAGTAGTGTAGAATGCAATAAAAATCAGGTATCCTAAGCACCTAAATCATCAGATCAATGTCCTTGCTAAAGATGACATGGTTGTTTTGAAGGTGGATTTTTCAGGCACTGGGCAATGACCTAAACTCGTTTTCAGTGAAATCAATGCCTCCCATTGATTTTGATGAATCCCAGTTAAGCTGTTGATAAGCACTTCTGTAAATGCAACCTAATCTCCAGCTATACTTGATCTCCGCAAAAAACCCTCAGGACTAAATTGTCATGCACAACTACTGTGCAACTCCATTTTTTTTTTCCAGCAGGGTATCGTGTCCTAGTGACAAGAAATGAACCTGCTGTCCTTGTTTGTAAAGCACTTTGGGATCCCGTGGAGCGTAACGTGAACACCAGTGGGCTGCGGTTCTCTCCCATCTGGGTTTCAGTTCCAGAGCACAGGACTTTTTCGCTTTCTACTTCTTTTTTTCCTTTCTGCCTTTGTGACAGAGCACTCAGCTGCTGTTTTGCGAGCAGCTGTTCTGTTTCCCTGTCTGCCCACAGTGGTATCCAGACAGCTGCACTGTGCGGCAGCCAAAGGTGGCCAGAGCAATGCCCAGCTTTGTTAAAAAGTAACGAGATTGGGAAAGGAGGGAGTGAGCAGGAAAATCGGTATAGTAGATTCTACAGCACACTGTCAGTGAGTGCAGAGAGACATGGGGGACCTCCGTGTCCAGTTAGAGATGCATTTTCTATGCATCTGTCACATTAAGACTCACCTGCTGACTCGGAGAAAGCCGTTAATCATGAGGTGATGCTGAAGTTCTCTGGGAAAGGAAGTGTTGCTGACAGTGGCAAGCAGCTTATGCTCATGTCTCATGGAAACTTAAATGTGCGTAAGTGTGTGCTCAGCATCTGTTTTCTGCATACTGCATGACTCAGACGCATAGGGGGTCAGGTGTGGCTAAGAACAGACCAGTGACGTGCAGTATGGCACTTTTTTGTTTCTTTCAGGCAGCTTTCTTGTGGATGGTAGGGCATTATATTTAAGTATTTGTCCATTCTCGGTTTTACATGCATATTTTTCCAACGATGTTCATAGTGTCTGTTTTGTGGTTCCACCTTCAAGCACTTACAAAGTAGCGAGGAACAATTCAATGTGCATGAAGCTATGTGGTAGGTTTGTAGCATGTGAGGCTTTCAGCTTTTGCCCAACTTAACATTTCTTTTCTTTGTATTCCAGAAAAAGGCATGGCATACAATTAAAACCATGGTTAACTTACCAGTCATCAGCCCTTTCAAGAAACGCTACTCATGGGTGCAGTTGGCTGGGCATACAGGTGAGATGGATATCTTCAATATGTTTGTCTCTGAAGTGGAGATGGCAGCAGCAAGGAAAACAGTGTGTCAGTGTTTCTCAATTTCTTTCCTTCAAATAAGAGGAAGCAGGCAATATCCCATGAATCTGTGAACTAGAATGCCTTTCCTTCAGTTGTTGTGGGGGTAGGGAAGGGGGAGTGATATACCTAAATAATGAGATGAGCAAAGAAGCAACAGTTAGATTCTGGGGAAGGGCCAGGCTCCCGATGCATCCTTGTAAGGTGATGTATGTAAAGTGGATGTTAGAGAGAGACACAAGGGACTGGGGATTTGAAGCCCTAGTCCATCTGTTGCTCTTGGTTGTGGTATGGGATCATCTTTCTTGACTGAGTAGCCAATATGTTAGTTCCCTAGTGGGAAGCATTACTGTCTGTGCCTGTATATGCCTTGGCCCTGGCAAGGATAGTGTTTCTAATACCAACTCCAAACCCCTCATCTAAACCCTTGGGTGGAAAACAAATCTGGTGAAAATTGACTTGCTGACCAGGTGTTTACATCATGAATCTGTTGTTGATCACTGCATGAGTGCAGGAGCAGCTCAGTTGGCTCGTTCTAGTTTTGTGTCTGTGGAAGTTGGTAAGTGTGCTCCTGATGCAGACTTCGTTTCACTGGTAAGACAAAAAAACCCAACAAACCAACAAAGAGAATTCATCAGGTTTGCTAGTCTCATGCTTCATTTAATTCCTATGCAGCCCTTGTTCCTCAAGTGCTAGTGTGGGGTTTATTAGTACACATGTGGGCAGGCACCTACGCTGCATCGTGCTTTAATGCAGTACCTGAACCACCTCGTTATATGCTAATGCACTAATATGATGCACTTCAAAGCTGTGCAGAGAAATTTATTTAGTCCTAGAAACGGAGTAGCTGCATTTTGCACAGTGGTATTGGTGGGGCTGACTGGTATCACACAGAGTGCCGACATGACCCAGTCTTACTGCAGTTTTTATCACAATGTGTATGGTGTTGGTTTGATCTGTATGGAGTGGTGCACTGGTTGTGTAATCATAACCCTTCTGGAGGCTTGTGTAGTAGGGTGGAAGAGGAGGGTTAAGAGTTTACTAGAAGTTGATGAGGAGGGATGCTGCACCACTTTGCTTTAGATAGTTTTCTGTGGTTGCATTTAGTCCATTCTTTTTGCAGCTGCTGTTCTCTGATATGACAAGTTCTTTTTAAACTAAAACCTGGGCCATCACCACCCTTACCCTTGTGCTGAGGCAGTCCCAGTTGTAGGATTTGTCAGAGAAGAACCAGTTTGCAATGGCTGAAGGATCCTGATGTGATAAAAGTTGAGCGTTAGCCCCAGTATTAATAAGGCTCCTACTTTGGTGCTGATTTTATGATGTATAGATTAAAGGGTACCTCTGAATGAAACGTGTACTTTTCTCAGACATTATTGGCAGGTTGCAGGATAGGAGAGCGACTTCCACAACTGGAGTCTACTGACAATCTTGGCCTACGCAGGCTGTCATTTGTACTGGATACCATTCAGACACAGGGTTGTAAGAAAACAATTGCCCTTTGGGCGGTACCCGCAGATTAGTAGGGTTTAGGAGAAGAGGCAGTACCTGGAGGTACACGCATGCGCAGTCACTGCGCGTGTGTGTGTAGAAAGGGCAGTGCTCGGCTTCTGGCCTGTTTGTGTCTGTTTAATGATCACTGATTGACTGTATTGCCTCGGTATGTACACACTCAGCAGGTATACCCGATGTGAGGATTAAGGACAAAGCCAACACTGGCAGTGTCATGCAGCTTTAAAATAGCCTGTCAGAGGATTAATGAATTCTGGCTCGTGGCTTCTTCCTGTGCATTTTAGTAAGTATAGCAGTGTTTAATATCCTAACAAAAAGTTTAGCATGGAAAAAAAAAAAACGATGGCCTGGAGCAGCTGCACTCCTTAAAGCTATACATTCTGACATGGGAATGTATCCAAATGGACTTTCACTGCCAATGGCTATGTTTGTTCTGGGTGTTTTATTTTCTTTATGAAAAGCATGTTATCTTTTCTGTTCACAGGAAGTCTTTAACTGATGTCATGAGGCTGAGGTAGATGAAGCTGCAGTGGTGGGGGAAAGTGTTTTTCTTTTTTGCGGGTCAGTCTTGTCAGCATGTGTTTTATTTTCTTTTTTAGGGAGTTTCAAGGCAGCTGATAGTGGGAAGATTCTCAAACGCTTCTCGGAGAATGAAAAGGAGTGTTTTGAGCGGTTGATGAAAGACCCGCTACGTTCCTGTGTCCCTTGCTTCCATGGTGTGGTGGAGAGAGATGGCGAGAGCTACATTCAGCTGGATGACTTGCTTACTGATTTTGAAGGGCCTTGTGTGATGGACTGCAAGATGGGGATCAGGTGGGGTACAGGAAAGAGAAAGTGCTTTCTAACCCAAATGCATTTGAAGGAAGGGGAGGATTCTCTGTCTGCAGGAGTTTGGTAATGTTTCTGGAGCCTTGGGATTCAGTCCAGACAACATGCTGTTGGTTTGGCAATCGCCTTGGACAACCTGAGGAGAATATGCCCTGTTGTTGCCTGATTGTACATGACTTCTGTAAGCTGACTGATCTATAGCCTTAAAAACTATCCACATCAAGATATTTTCAGAGGTGATTTAAGACAAAGTTTCTCTTCAGTGGCCTGATAATACATGGGAGAAAATTACATGATTCATTCACTGGCGGTTCATTTACTCTTTGTGTATGCAGTGACTCAAAAAACCCCACAAAGAGTAAAATCCCTGTCTCCAAATGTGAATGACTGAATAGGAGTGTGAAAGCCCATTTCCAATACTTGAGTGAGTCTTTACTGGTATTGGTATTTTCTGCAAAGAAAAGAGTTGACCGTCTGCTCAGGACTGACCTGTGTTTTTCCCTACTCTGACATCCCAGCCAGCATGGGTTCATGAAAGGTTCATGGTTGACCAACCTGATTTCCTTCTATGACCAGGTGACCCACCTAGTGGATTGAGGGAAAGGCTGTGGATGTTGTCTATCTGGACTTTGGTAAAGCCTTTGACAGCATCTCCGATAGCATTCTCCTGGAGAAACTGGTGGCTCGTGGCTTAGACAGGTTTACTCTTCGCTGGGTAAAGAACTGGCTGGATGGCCGAGCCCAGAGAGTTGTGGCGAATGGCGTTAAATCCAGTTGGTGGCCGGTCACAAGTGGTGTTCCCCAGGGCTCAGTACTGGAGCCGCTTCTGTTCGATATCTTTATCAATGATCTGGACAAGGGGATCGAGTGCTCCCTCAGTAAGTTTGCAGATGACACCAAGTTGGGTGGGAGTGTTGATCTGCCTGAGGGTAGGAAGGCTCTACAGGGGGATCTGGACAGGCTGGATCGATGGGCCAAGGTCAACTGTATGAGGTCTCAGAAGGCCAAATGCTGGGTCCTGCACTTTGGTC